TGGGGGTGGGGGGTCCAGGGCAGACTGACACCCGGTTGCCAAGTGCTACCCAGTCAGCTCTCACTTTTCGCTGAAATCAAACCGTCGCAGGATATGATCAGGCGTAGAAATCGGCTGTAATTTTCGACTCTATTCGGGGTACGCCTCGGGCCATGTTGGGCCAGGTGCGGGCGTGGTTGTGATCAAGGCGGGTGCATCAAATCGTATGCAGCGGGTGCATACTTCTCACTGGACTATGGATTATGGATTGTGGACGTAGATCTATGTAAGTAATGGCATGCGTTGCGTCCTATGTATCCGTAATGGCATACCTCGTCCGCCTGCCGCCTTCTACCAGCGACCCCCGCGCCGCGGCCGTCAGCCGGCATCAGCGGCACGCTCGGGGACAGTCGGGCGGGAGCATCAACACAGACGGGAGGGTGAGGGATGAAGAAAAACAAGTGGGCAGGCTGGTGCGTTGGGCGCGTTTAACTTTTGGTCGCTCCCATAGCTCATCATCGGTAATTTACTTTGCTCCCATGAATTTGAAAGTATTTCCTAGTCGCTAGAGGGCGTTTAATTGCATGTAAGAAATTACTCAGCTGGCCGCAATATTTTACCTTAACTATGCAATTGCTGCTGCCCACCGCCATTCCATACCCCTGTCCCCTCCCCCCGTCGGCGGAAGGTTGGTGTGGTGGTCCTCACACTGATCAGTCACCCGAGGCAACAAGGAGGATATCTGCATTTGATCATTTGAAATCACTTGAGATTTGATAACTTAAGGTTGCTTCGCGTGCGTGCTTTGTCAGACAAACTTTTTCTCAGACGAACATGTGCATAGGACATTTGCGTATTGCGTACACCATACACGAGCATGCGAACTTTATCTGCGACGAACATTTGCGCGCGGACAATTGCGCGCAAACTTTTTCGCATACGAACTTTTGTGCGTGCAAGCATGTTCGGTACGAACTTTTTTCCGACAAACATTTTTTCCACACGAACCTCATGCTACATGAACTTCCCACTTTGCGGACTTTTGACGGTACGAACTGTATATGCTACGTACCGTGTCCTGACAAGTTTAAGGCAAACGAACCTTTTTCCTACGAGCAATTGTCTTACGAACTTCTTCTAAGCGTACCTTCGTCCGCAACCGTTGCCTTAAGGCGTTCCAGGACAGCTTACCACTGATCGCAAATTACCCATCTACTTATGTCCTCGTAGTAGACCATCATTGCATACGCCCGTTTACCGCCGACTACATCTCATCCCTAAATACCCCCTAAACACGCCTCCTCTCCTTCCCTTTTCGGTATGTCGAATGTGGAGTCGCATTAACGTCCCCCCCCCCCCTGCCGCGACCTCTCCCCCTTGGGCGAGTCCGGGGTGGGGAACTCCGGAGCCCCGAAAGGTCACGCGATATAAAACCAAACGCGGTTAACCCGTGCGCTGATCCAGGGCGGCAGTTCCAGCCTTGATGGGGAACGGGAGGGGGGGGGGGGGGGGCACCGGACTGATGAAGGGCCTCCTACCGGTAAAATCCCCCTCCTCCTCCCTCCCCAAAAGCGCTTGTTTGGCTCATTTGATGTCAAGGAAGCCAAATTTGCTTCGTTTTCTTTTAATTGGTATAGTTTTTTAACTGAAAATGCGTATCCTACTTACTGACCCATTAGTTACTACAGCATGTCATTCTACCAGCATTTGGCATCATAATGAACCGTGTGTGAAATCGCTGTATGAAATAAGCCGCGGGTCCTTTTCATTGTATGATGGTGGGTGAGACTTTCTAAAGCGGTAACAGCCGGGGGTGTCGTGAAATTTTGTCGCGGCTCCCCAAATATCTTACTAGGTTCTTGCCTCCTCCTCCGCATGGGGCCCAAAAATGGATTTGAATCGATGGATTGGATTGGATTGCGCAGATTAAAAGGGTCCAAATGCTGCTCTAGACGACAAACACCGACGTTAGCCGTTGCAGTTTCCACAGGCCGCGAGGTATCAGTCTCATGGGCAACATGAGGGAGTGGCCAACGAACGGACGAAAACGACCACACATCCGAAAGGAGCACTTTTGAACCACGGATGGAATCGGTCCCTCCGTGTCGAAGGCAATCCGTGCCGTATATTTCACTTGTACAGGGTTCAGATCGAGAACGGGAATGGATGAGCACTTACTGCTCAGCGAATCCTTACGTAATGACTGCTCTGAACTCTGACTTCATTGTTTGTCTCGCTTGGAAATGTTGTTCCGTTCAGAGGATGCATCTCAAAATGGTGTTGGTGAAATTTTTGCCTCTTTTGCATTTGAACAGTACGAGTAGATTTCCAAGGGCTTTCAGGAGCATGATTTCACGCCACATGGTCGGTTTCGCGCGACCGGCAGCTGCCGCCTAGTGTAAGCTGTAGTTGCCAACGCCGTTCGGTTTCAAGGAAACTGTAGCGTGGGGTCTCGCTGTTCTTATTTCTAACGACTGCGGACACGCATGCTCAAAGCGACTATAACATTGTTTACCAGCCGATTACGAAAGAGGACGAAAGGACGTCCCGAGCCAAGCATGTGTTGGTCACATCGAAACAGGTTTCTGACCTCGTGTCCATCCACTCGGTTAGGAATCTGAACCCTGAGGAGATTCCCTACCTTGCCTCGGGCAGAGGGCCCCGTGGGTAGAACACAGGTGGGCACATTGCTTTCTCCGGTCAAGGGCAGAAGGGCTTTTCCGTCCCAGCCCGAAGTATGTATCCAATGGCTGCCATGGTGACACGGGACCGGACCCCCTGCTCGATTCGGGGCCCCTAGAGGGATACACTACTTCTCGGTCCCCTCTCTGACGCGGGAGGCTCTCTGACCGGGGCAGTTGACCTGGATCGACACAGGAGCTATCATTTAAATAAACGTGTCCCTAACTGGCGCATTGGATCCAACAATTGGCACCGGGCCGCCAATTCGGCTTATCGGGCTCCAAATGAAATGGGACGGAGGCCCGCTTCGGTGCTGGGGTCTCTGGCTGACACAGCACCCTTCTGTTGTCTCATTGTGAAGTCTTACGTTCTCATCGTACGTTCTCATGCCTCATTTGATTGTCAGAGGGCGCAGTCCGACGCAAGAGACCCCCTGGTTTCGGAATCCCGACAATGTCTCTGTCCACCAACCGCGTCCCTGGCCGCCTCGTGGCCTCTTACCGACGTACAGGATCCCCTGTTTGGCACTGTGGGCTCCTGATCGATGCAGGAGCCCATCATTGCTGCAGGGGCCCTGAATTACCGAACGATGAAAATCGCGGGGTCCTTCTTGTCTGCGCTTGATACATGAGCCCCCTGGATTCAGACCGACACAGAGTCGACTGGTCGGCGTTGGTGGTCTTTGGCCGACGCAGAGGTCTGCATTGTCCCAGCCTTCTCCCCCGCCCCAGGCGGTGCAAAAGGCCCCCTGGTGGACCTTTGAATACGAATAGGGCCTACGGTCTTTTTCATATTTGGATCTTCGGATCGGACCCTTGGTCGTCGATCCCGAGGGTCTCGAAGGGCTCCCCGGAATCTGAGGGGAGCACGTGCTTCCTTTGCCCCACCCGCACCCTGCCTGCGCCCCTGTCTATAGCAACAGAACAACTTAAACGATCTTACCTGCTGTGTGATCCTGTACCTCGATGAGCAGCAGAACAGTCAGGTAGCGGTGTACAATACCCAGCCACTCTAACGTCATTAATATTAAACACGACCGTAATCAGCCACATAATGGCCAGTTACCTCACGTGGTCACGGCAAGGCTCAGGCACGCTTGCATTACGGGAGCTGCCATTGCATCAACACACTGCCTCGCCCAAACGCACTCAGACGTTTGTGTTTAAGTTGGGGCATCCGAGGGCCCGAGCGGCGGACATGTTGAGCTGCGGAAGGCATGTGGCCGGACACATTAGAGAAGACATCAGCAGGTGAAACATTTAGTGCAGTTGGCGCTTCTGAAAGCGAGGTGTCTCTACGGAAAGTTGATGGGGCTCGACTGGACAGGCGTCCCCACGAGACAATAAACGTGAGAATGACGCAGCGGTTTTATGGCTGTCCGCGAGTCAACTATCGGCGTACTTAGTGGTTGCCTTCCAGCGACTGGACCTCACCAACACTAGAGGTTTGTACTTACGACTTCGCAAATGTCTCCTCGTGAAAGCTCTAGCCGGGGCGGCCAGCCGTGTTGGCACGCCGGCGCGCAGTGTCCGGTCGTGTGACGCTGATGAAGGAGATGTAGGTAGTGTTACATTTTTTTGCAGCATACGGAAGGATTCGAATGGCGTGGAGGATGTCTGGAAGGACCAATCGCCGTAAGGATAAAGGAACGTAAGGTTGAGAGAAATTTCCTGCAGTTCTGGTCCGTCGGGCAACTTTGACACCGCTACCCGCCTTTTTTGCCATGCCTCGTGATATTCATGGAGGCTGCGCGGCAGGGGGCTGTCTGGAGATCCCGGTCTTTCGATTTTAAGTGCTTATGGGATGGGGATGGTTCTGCCCCTTGTGGTCTTGTAAGGCTATTTGATATATAATTTTACGGTAATAAGGTGTAATTGGAGAAAAGGGTACTACAAGCCCCACGAGAACGCACGTCGCAAGTTAAAGAAACTTGAAATGTTTGGGGTGAATCCGACGTTTGACCAGTGGGGGGGGGGGGGGGGCACTGTAGGCGAACGCCTCCCGGATCAAATTTTGCAAAACCCCCTTTCTTTGAGATCTTGGAGTTGGTCTGTGAACGCCTCGGTCACAACCCTATGCTAGCTCTGAAAAGGATGAGGCAACTTTTAGAAAACAAAGTGTGCTAGGTGCCTGGCCTCAGAACGGCTGTACTCCAAATTGAGCTCGAACTAAATATCTTCGAAGTGGCTTGTACAGATAAATTTGATTTACGAATTTGGCTTTTATTTCTTTTCGTTGTTTAAAATTTTACTTTTGAGTGGAACAAACATACTTTTTGGTCAACCCCAATGAAGTACGTCCGATCCTGTGACCTCACGCGTCTCCTGCCACGGCCGAGATTGACTGTCGGTCGGCGGTGTTGCGGTGTGTGTGTGCTTGGCCCGGCGCATTGTTCTGTCGTCCCATTAAACGAAAGCAGCCATGGTAAGTTTATGATGTTGTTTTCAGTTGCATCGTGGTATTTTTCAGCGTTTAAAAGATTGGTTAGCTACGTTCGTGCTGATTAGTTATGTTTATTGGTCATCCTTCACAGCCGTCAATCTGGGAGCTGGAGGCAATTATGCTTCTTTCTGGCTTCAGTCTTCATAGTAGCCCATGTTTATTCAGCAGTCAATATGACATGGATTCTGGGAGTGTTTTAAGCATTTTAAAGGATCTTGCATTGTATTGGAAGGCTTTAAAACATGAAGGACAAGTGCTTGTGTTGTTGGGTGTAGCTTTAAAACTTGATGGTAGGCTAAGTGTACAAAACCTGGTTTCTAGCATTTACAGGTTTGGTTTTCTAAAATTACCTCTGATGAAACTCAGGTTTCCCTGCCTCATTTTGTATGACTCTGGTTACTTTGTGTGGGTGCTCAACATAATTGTGTTAGTTTTCCTGAAATAGTTGTAAACTAAAGATTAATGTATCATGCCCAGTAGTTAAGCTGATACCTAAAATATGGACATGTCTTTTTAGCTTAGATCAGTTCTTTTACTAGCTGTGCATCAAGTATATATGTTATATTTTAACATGGTTCTGTTTGGGTACTGATTGTATAGTGTTAAAGTATATAACTGTGCATCTGGGGAACTAGAGGTACTAGTATGATTCCCTGTAGTGCCTGCCAGGGTGAGAGGCAGGTGATACTTCATAGGCTCAGAAAGTGGATGTTTGGTAAAGCCCCAATGACTGTTCAACTGTTCTGGCATATCCTTTTTCTAAGTTAGTAATGCCATTAGGAATGTTTTCTAATCTCATGCTTGTTCCTCTTGTGTGTTATCATTAAGATGTGTATAAAATAAGCTGCTCTTTTCACAGGCTGGTGCTTTGAGCAGAGCCAAGAATTTGGCTAAACTCCAAAATGAAGAAAGGGAAGGCAAGCTAGGATATGTGTTTGCTGTATCTGGACCAGGTAAGCATGACATATTGGCCTGATTGGTAGTATAGAAGGAAAAATCCCATCAAGTTGCCCCCAGCCTTTAGCATTTGTTATCTATCATGCATGATATTAGAACATTTCAACTTGTGTGCAATGTTAGAAAATGGTATTGCTGAGGAGTGGTATGTGAACTTTAATTCTGTCCCTCTGGAATGGCATATGTGCCCAAATAGCAGTATAAACCATTTTGTGTGATCATGAGATCTTGTTTTGAAAAGTATGCTTGTGTTATTTTTTCATTAGTCATTAGTTTCATTTCATTCATTTATTAGTTTTTCAGTAGAAAGTCATGATATCAGAGTATATCAGCTTGTGTACAATATTTAGAAAATGATAGTGCCGAGGAATGATATTAAACTTTATCCTGTCCCTCTGGAATGGCATAGGTGCCCAAATAGTAGTATGAACCAGTTTGTGTGATCATGAGACTTTATTTTGAAAAGTGTGCTTGTGTTGTTTTTTCATTAGCATGCCTGTATGTATATTGACTTCAGTTTAGTGATATGGCAGTATTTCTGCTGAATGGATTTTTGTTGGGATGGCTAATTATATTGGAGATGAAGGCAGTAATTGGATGATTTGATTGGCAGTTCATGAAAATGATATTCCTAATCTTGCCCATTTTTGGAAATCTGAATCTAGGCTGAAATTTGGCTTGTTTTGATTAATTTATCATGCACTATTTATTTGTTTAGGTATATTTCATGTAATGTGTACCAGATGACTGAATGATGATGGTAACAAGATGATGAGCATGTTTGATGCAGGCATAGATGGAAAGGTAACTGCATACACTTTGGCACACATCTGTCCACAGAATGTAGTCCCAACCACCACAGTATCCCAAAATTTATCCAGGAGGGTGCAGGATGTGAATATTAATTCATGCCACCAGAATACTGAGCCTCCAGCAGCCCCTCCATGCAATTTGTTGGTGCTAACATGGTGCCCTTCGACCCTGAACCCAGACATCTGACCTGACAGGCCAATTTGTCAGGTGTGAGGCACTTATATGCTGGATTGACCACTGCCTGGTTTGATGCTGATTTGATACCTGAGTTGATTTGATGCATGATTGATGCTGATTGACCAATTTTAAGGAAGGGGGAGGTGCAACAGGCACAACTCCAAGCCTAGGATGTTAAAGCATGACAAATATTGGCATGTTTACCATCCAACTGGTTGAATGTTGAAACATTCCCATTGACTGGTGACAAACTACAAAGACGAAGCCAGTGGTCATGCCAGTCCACTGACCCTGCTGTATGTTTTGGTCATGACCTGACTTCTAACTATAAGTCATCCAGCATCTATGGACTGTGACCCACAGGCACAGTAAGGGCAAACCCAAGGTCCTTGCCCCTTAGCTCTTCCTTTTTTTGTCACTAGATGGCTGCTAACAGAAATTCAAAGATACTTGTGATGCATTCTCACTGAGCTCTTCCCCTCCCCAGAGAAAATTCTATCTACACCCCTGCTGTGACCCATCTGCCAACTGACCAGCTCACCAACTGTCACCTATCCATTGACCATCACCTGTGCACTGGTCATGTCCCATTCCCTGGTTGTTGACCACTTGCTGACCATTTCTCAGTCACCAGCCATGTTCACCTGGCCATCACCCATCCACTGACCATCACTCTCCACATATTGTGATCTTTCCACCAATAGTGGGATCCATTTTCTGACCATGACATGTCTACTCATGTTGGACCATCTCTTGACTGTCACACCTCCACTAATCATTACCTATCGCCTTGCCAAACACACTACTATCACCCATCCTCCTGCTATTGCCCATCGCCATGCCATCACCCAACTAGTAACCATCACCCCTTAACTAACCATAATCCATCCCTTTGCCACCATTCATCCCCTGGCCACCATCCATCTCTCTGCCACCATCCATCCCTTTGCCACCACTCATCCTCTTGCTACCATCCATCCCTTTGCCACATTCATCCCCTTGCCACCATTCATGCCCTTGCTGCCATCTGTCCCTTTGCCACCATTCATCCCCTTGCCACCATTTATTCTCTTGCCACCACCCATCCTCTTGCCACCATCCATCCCCTTGCCACCACCCATCCTCTTGCCACCACCTATCCTCTTGCTACCGCTCATTCACTAATTATCATCCATTCACTAACCAGCACCAATCCCCTTGCTATCACCCATCTCCTTGCTCATTTCCCTGCCACCAACCATCTGCTGACTGCCCCGTCTGTCGGCAGTGGTGACAGCTGAGAACATGTCCGGCTCCGCTATGTTCGAGCTGGTGCGTGTCGGCTACTACGAGCTGGTGGGAGAGATCATCCGGCTGGAGGGTGACATGGCCACCATCCAGGTGAGATCATCATTGCATGGTCATCAACCAGGTGAAATCATCATGGCACAGCCTCCATCCAGCTGAACTTAGTGTGACATACTTAGCATGTACATTGTCCAGGTGAGAGCACCATGATGAGGCCCTTATACAGGTGAGATCATCATGAAGTGGCTTTCATACAGGCGAGATGGTCATGGCAAGGTCTTCACCCAAGTGAGAGCATCACGACATGGCCACCACCCAGGTGAGATTATCACTGCATTGCCACCATCCCTGAAGGATCGTGGCGCGGCAACCATCCTGGTAAGGAGCATCAGCCGACCAATCGCTGGCGACACCACAGCAGTCAGACTGCTTCATTCTTCCCTCCGACGGCGGACGTGACCCGACGGCCGTGTCCCGCCGCCGGCAGGTGTACGAGGACACCTCGGGTGTGACGGTCGGCGACCCCGTGCTGAGGACGGGCAAGCCCCTCTCCGTGGAGCTCGGCCCCGGCATCATGGGAGCCATCTTTGACGGTGAGTCTGCGCCGGCTGACGTCCGAGCAGGCGCATCTCTGGTCGAGTGAGCTACGCTGACCAGGGCTGGTGGGAGCGGATGTGCAAGTAGTAGCGCATGTGGCATTTGGCTCGCGTATTTGCCAGAGGGGGGCGTTGGTGTTCCCCTTTCTGCCCCCCCCCCCCCCCCCCAACCACCTCGGCTCTCATGTGGGTAACGTACCCAGTCATTGCATGGATTGATCGCAATGAAAGTTTCAGCTCATTCCAACACGTCAGGGTCAGCAGAGCATGACCTCGTTTTGGGAGGCTCGCACTGCGAGAACCGGGGAAAATCATCCCACGCGTTTTCGGTGCCGAGCTCGCCAGATCGTCTTGTCCGGCAGCTCCATATGCGCGCACTTAAAGCGACCACATCGGGAACACCTCAAACATTCCCCCGTAAAAATGATATTGGCTCAGGGCCACACAATACTGAGCCTTCAAGCGCGCGCGGCCAGTGACCTCGAGCATGATCCGTCGGCAGGTATTCAGCGGCCGCTGCAGGATATCAACGTGCTCACCAAGAGCATCTACATCCCCAAGGGCATCAACACGCCGGCGCTCAGCCGCTCCGCGCAGTGGGACTTCCAGCCGGGCGTCATGAAGGTGCGTGCCGCCGTCCGCTGCCCGTCCGCCGCCGTCCGCGGCCGTCCGCCGCCGTCCGGCCAGGGGCACTCGCTCTTGCTGCGAGACATGTGCCCCGACCGGCACGTTTTTGGAGGGTTGCTCGCTGGAGTTAGTGTGGAACGAGGGGGATGGATGGGTTTGGGCCGATTGTACCACCGCGTTGCATGATGTGTGTTTAGGGGTGTGCCTGAACGCCGGCTGTTGACCTCGCGTAAATGAGGTGTGTTTGTATGTGATGTTGTCACAATCTTGATGAAAATGTTTCCCTCTGTCGCGTTTTCCGTCACGTGACCCCGCCCTACTCCAGGTGGGCAGTCACGTGACTGGCGGTGACGTGTACGGCATGGTGCACGAGAACACGCTGATCAAGCACAAGATGATGCTGCCGCCGCGCGCCAAGGGCACCATCTCCTACATCGCCCCGGCGGGCCACTACGGCATCGACGTGAGTTCGCTGATATCGCGTCTCTCATTGGGCTCGTCTCCGCTAGGTCACCGCCGTCGATACGCAGCCGTTCTCAGTCTGTCTGACCGGTGCTGTGGACGCTCCGCCACCTCCGCGTCTGACCCCGTGACCCCCATCTCTGACCTCGCACGTCCGCGTCTGACCCTGTCACCTCCACCTCTGACCCCGCCACCTCCGCCTCCGACATTGTCGCCTCCGCTCGGAGCCCATGACCTCCGCCTCATGTTCGTGACCTCTGTGTCTGACCCCGTTACCTCCGCCTCTGACGCCACTGATCTTCGCCACTAACCTGGCCACCCTTCTCGGCTGGCAGGATGTGGTGCTGGAGACGGAGTTTGAGGGCGAGCGCACCAAGCACACGCTGCTGCAGGTGTGGCCCGTGCGGCAGCCGCGTCCCGTCAACGAGAAGCTACCGGCCAACCACCCGCTGCTCACCGGCCAGCGCGTGCTGGACGCTCTCTTCCCGTGCGTGCACACTCCAACTTGGCCCGAGGCGCGGCCACGGAGCTGTGCCGGTGGAGCCGTGCACTTTGAGTTTTTTGTACCACTCCCTCTGGTGTTTGTTTTAGCTGCATTGTGTTTGGATTATCTATTTTTATATTGGATTACCAGTTATGTTAGGTGGACGTTTGGTCCTCGCTCCCTCTCCCTCCCCAAAGGATCATAAGGCTCGGGTCATTCACGGAGAGTCCTGGTGGCCACGATTACGGATAGAAGTGCGTCACTGCTTTGTCGGTATGTTTTTTTTTCTAGGTGATGAGTGCTGGGTGCCGAAAATTGTAGCTGCGGTCTTAGCTGTGGGCGTCTCGACATGTATGACGACAGGTTCCTCGCCCGTGTCCCGTCCCGCTCCGACAAGTCCCGCGCGTGCTATCTGAACGGCCTCCGGTTGCGCTCACGTGTGTGCCGCCGTGCCGTGACCCGTCCAGTTCTGTCTTGATCCGCCGCCGGGGTGCGTGTCCGCCTGTCCTATGCCCGCCCCCTCCTGACGGGTGTCGCCACCACGCCCCGCCCGCGGAGGTATGCCGGCTGACGGGCCTCGCTCGCGGCCGCGCCCAGGTGTGTGCAGGGTGGAACCACGGCCATCCCGGGCGCCTTCGGCTGCGGCAAGACCGTGATCTCGCAGTCGCTCTCCAAGTACTCCAACTCGGACGTCATCGTGTACGTCGGCTGCGGAGAGCGAGGAAACGAGATGTCCGAGGTGAGTGCGTGGTGGGAATGGTCTGGGTGCGGCTGGAGTTTGCTTCGATGTTGGAGACACGTATATCATCCCTGTCTGTGAGTTTTGTTCGGTGGTCTTCGTCTCGTTAGTGCGCAGCAGTGCAGCCCGCCGTGCTATCACGTGCCAGTGCGACCCCCTGTTGCGCCGCGTCTCCTCCGGCTTAAGTGCTGCCCCCTATACTGCTACCGACCAGTGTGCCGGTGCCGAGCAGTGCCTTTGCTCTTGTGACGTTCCCAGCCTGGTAGGGTAGGCGGGTACTGTCAGCCGCCGGTGCTGTGCAGTGCAGCCACCAAGCCACCGCCTCACCTGCCGTGGCCGCCTGCCCAGGTACTCCGCGACTTCCCCGAGCTGACGGTGGAGATCGACGGCAACACAGAGTCGATCATGAAGCGGACGGCGCTGGTGGCCAACACGTCCAACATGCCGGTGGCCGCCCGCGAGGCCTCCATCTACACGGGCATCACGCTCTCCGAGTACTTCCGAGACATGGGCTACAACGTCTCGATGATGGCCGACTCGACGTCCCGCTGGGCCGAGGCGCTGCGCGAGATTTCCGGCCGCCTGGCTGAGATGCCGGCCGACTCCGGCTACCCCGCCTACCTGGGCGCCCGGCTGGCCAGCTTCTACGAGCGCGCCGGACGCGTCACGTGAGTCGGCTGCTAACGGTGGAGGGGAGGGGATGGTGACACGTGCGTGGCGGGCGGCGCGGCAGGCGGCCGCTGGGGGTCGTGAGAGGGGCTTGGGTGAGGGTGTCACGCGGTTGGCCGGCCGTGAAGCGGTGGAGGGACGTCGCGAGCGGGCCCAGGGGTGGGGGAGGTAGTGGGAGGACGGCCCTGGGTGCGTATGGAGTGCAGGAGAGCGGCGCCAAGTCGACGGTTTCAGATGTGAGAGGTGGGAAGGAAGAGCGGCGCCTCGGTGACCTGGCACGAGGATTGGTGTGGCGTGTCACGGGGTTGTTCAGCGAACGGACGAGGGAGGACTTTGTCTCTTTAGTGGGCTGGCGTTGTGAAGAGAAGGGGCGTAGGGGTGATTTTCGAGAGGTGTCATTGATGCGTTAAGCAGCAGCGATTGGCTGGATGTGGCACTGCAGTGATAAAACGGACCAGAGCAGTGTTGGATGATAGCTGCCAGGGATGGGTAACAACTTGTCGGGACACTTGTGTGTGCCTAAAGGGTTATTGGAATGCGTCGAGAGGCTGCAATGCGTTTCAGACCAGGCATGTCCTGCACGATAAGTTGAAAAGTGATGGTCGATCGTGCTGGTCTGGTGCCAGCCGTCGGCCGCTCCTTCCCAGCACCGGCACCGTCGGCCGTCAGTCCCGCCTTCGGAGCTGGCCGGAGCCTTGTGTGGCGCTGTGGAGCAGCCCTCTGACGTTGGCTGTCGCCCTCCGTCGGCCAGGTGTCTGGGTAACCCGGACCGCGAGGGCTCGGTGTCGATCGTGGGCGCCGTCTCGCCGCCCGGCGGCGACTTCTCCGACCCCGTCACCTCGGCCTACGCTCGGCATCGTCCAGGTGTTCTGGGGACTGGACAAGAAGCTCGCGCAGCGCAAGCACTTCCCCTCCATCAACTGGCTCATCTCGTACAGGTGAGTGGGGTGGCCTCGCTGGCCGGCACCTTGCCTGTGCACTTGTCTGGTGCACATGTGTGGCTGGGTGCGATGTGGCTGGCGGCCCGCGACGCGCTGTCCTTCGGCAATGTCAGCGCTTCCCGCTGTTGTCCCGGTATCCGTTGAATGCGTTCGCTCAGGCCTTGCCATTTGCCCGAAGCCGGTCGACTGCTGTGCGTCGGAACTTCACATCGCTGCGTGTGCTAGTGCAGGTGATTCAATGGCCACTGGCCCCCACTGACGACGCCTTTCTCTGTGGGATCTGATAAGCTCGCGTCGCGGTTCCCAGTAAATACATCCGCGCGCTGGATGACTTCTACGAGAAGAACTTCAACGAGTTCACATCGCTGCGGACCAAGGTGAAGGAGATCCTGCAGGAGGAGGAGGACCTCTCTGAGATCGTACAGCTGGTCGGTAAGGCCTCGCTGGCTGAGACCGACAAGATCACCCTGGAGGTGGCCAAGCTGCTCAAAGACGACTTCCTGCAGCAGAACGGGTGAGTGGCGGTGGTGGCTGTATGGACGGTACAGGCGGAGGCAAGGAACCACGCGTGTTATGGGCCCGCTCGTACCGTTCGACGGGTATGCAGATCCGATTGCGAAGTTCCGCCTCGGTTGTGCGCTCGTATGCGCCACGTCCCACCCACCCGTTGTTCACCTGACCATTAACCCTTGCTGCACGTGCCGCCGCTCTTCGCCGTTGCCTACCGCTTGCTGGCGCGGTCCGGCGCATGGCGTCGTGACGTTCCGTCCCGAGCCTGCGCGCCGAGGTGCCGTCGGCTGCCGGGCGCCGGATGGGCCCCGCGCCGGCCTGACCCTGATGCCGGCCTCCCCGCCGCCAGCTACACGCCGTACGATCGGTTCTGCCCCTTCTACAAGACGGTGGGCATGCTGAAGAACATGATCGCCTTCTACGAGCTGTCGCGCCACGCCGTCGAGTCCACCGCCCAGTCCGACACCAAGATCACGTGGAATGTCATCCGTGAGACGATGTCGCAGACCATGTACCAGCTGTCGTCGATGAAGTTCAAGGTGACGCTGGCTCTGCGGAGGAGCCGTGCGCTGCTGGTCTGGTGCTGTGCTTTGTTCATTGCTCGTCGTTCGTTGATTTCTGGGGACCGAGCTCATGGCGGGATTGTCTTCAACGGGTATTATTTCCCATGGTGTCGTGTTGGCGCACATAGCAAGCTTCCGGTGCAGAGACCGACGCAGGTCTAGTGTTCGTCTCAGCACCTGTGACTATTGCCTCTTAGATCCCATTGAGAAGACAGGTCCGCCTGTCGGACGTCTTTGGCGTATGTCTGTCGCGTCTCTTTTCTGTATTTATTTCCCTTTGACGTACGTCTAAGGTCAGGTTGTACATGCCGCTCTTTTATTAGCTTATAAAAATCGCCCAAGGCTTTCAGCCGCGTTGTGTAGCGTCACCTAATTACCCGGTGTCGCAGCGCGCGCCGTGTTGTTGGCGCGCCTTGTCCCTTTTTCAACCTTCGGCCCGCGCGATGTGGGTCCGTCGTCACCGACCTCGGCCGTTCGCAGGACCCGGTCAAAGACGGCGAAGCCAAGATCAAGGCGGACTTCGAGGCGCTACACGAAGAGATGCAGCAGGCGTTCAGAAATCTGGAGGATTAGCGTGTCAGGTGAGAGCCGGGCCCGGGCCAGCCGCCAGCGCTGCTGGCACCAGGCCGGCGCCCAGCCGCACTGTTGCTGGGCGCCGAGCACGGGGCCGGCACGCGTCGCGGCCTGCCCCGGCGTGTTCGCCGGCGGACCGTCTTGATACAGTTTGACGCCTTGACTGGCCGGTGGGCCGTCTGTCGACGCTGTCGGCCTTCATAGCCAGGTGGTGGGCATCATTGGGGGTTTGGGACGCGCCCGACTGCTGCGTCACTTGCGGCCCAGCTTTTGGCGATAGCTAGCGCGCGTTCGTGACGGAGATCGGTGGTTTTGTCGTTGCCGGCGTCATGACCGGCGAGATCCGCGCCTGTCGGTTGTGTCCGACCCTTGTTGCACGTGGCGTTCCGTCAGCGTTGGTGCGCGCCGGGCCGCTCTGGTCGGACAGACCTCGGCTAGTTACGCTGGGCACGGAGATGACTTGCGGCTGGTTCGGTAGAACAAACGTGCTTATGTACAATACCATTGAAATTGAGTCGTGGCAGTCCGCGTGCGCACCGAACTGCGACAGGTTACGCCAGCAGTTCGTGAATCGGATATCTGCGCGGGACTGTGCTTACTTTTAGAGCGTTCCCAGTCATGTTACATGTCGGCTTTCTGTATAACTGACTCCGCAGGCTTAACGATCGCAGTGATCCGGGTATAGTACTACGCCCGGAAGACGTTGCAGAGGGCAGCCAGGTGGGGCATGCACCCACCGCCAGTCTGCACGTGGACTAAACGTTTACCACGCGAGATCACCTCTCGTAACCGCACGCCTTTTGTATGCGAGACCAGACCGCCTACAGGCGCGCTGGCTGCGTGCAGCCAAGCCCAGGTCTAGGTCCGGGGTGCCTCGTCCGGGGCCGCCTCCGCCGTAGGCCGTCGCCGTCGGCGGGACAGGAGTGGGCTGCTCTGCCCGCCAGCCGCCGCCGCTGCTGGTGCCTGAGCCGCCCGGCCTGTGTTTCAGAGGTCGCCCCCTGTAGGAGCCGTGGGTCGGCGTGCGGACGGCCGGCGTACATTCCACCAGTGGGGCCCCGCCTGGCCGGGTCTCCGTGCTCGCGGCCCGCGCGCCCCGCCCTCGACGCTGTCTACCCGTTGTGTATAGTCGGTGTGTGTGCGTGAGCTACATGAGCATGATTATTTGGTAACTATTGTCCGTCGGACTGTGGTCGTGTTGATTTTGATAGCGGTTGCCATACGTACGACGTGCGCCAGATTGAGCCGCGGTTCTGCCGCGTGCGTTCTGCGCGCCACCATCACGAGCGCAGGCTCTGGTGCGGCGGGCCCGTGTGAATCATTTCTGACTTATTGTGCCGGTCGTTGGCGCCGGGAGTGCCGGTCTGTACAGCGCGTGGGTACGCAGATATATATGTGTATGTGTAGTGATAGCGGTCGGCCGTTCTGATTTGAGGGTGCGCCGTGGATTGGGTGGGGGCGCGGCGCGGATCATGCCGCGCGGCTGGTGCCGGACACATTCCACGTGCATGAAATGTGAGCTCGTAATATTCGACAAATGCAAATAAACCGCCACTGGAGGGAGTGTGTCGCAGTCGGCTTGTTCCTGACAGATGCGCTCGCGGCGTATGCAGCCGTTCGTCAGGGACGCTACCGTAGAAGCCTCACCAAACTGTCATTTGCATAGTGTCCCCGTATTGTTTTAGATTGTGGATTTTGCCGATTGATTTTTGAAGAGCTTGCGGGGTGCGAAGATGCAGCCGTTTGAGTCATGCCGCATTTTGTTTCCGCTCCACTATGACCCGAATTCAGGAGGCCTGAAGGGAAAATAGGGGCATTTAAATTTGACAGTGATCCGCGGTGTGAAGTCTGAACTGGACCAGGTACATGAAATGCATTCTACAATTATTTTACTAGAAGGATGACCGAAAACAATTTATTTTGACGGATGGTCTGCGTGGTGATGGTGGTCCTCGCCCTTACCGCACTCCAGTTGGCCTGGTCTTTGGAGTTAAAACGTCGGTTTTTGGCATGATGGAAATGGACGCGATGTAGATTAGGTAGCCTATGCTCAATAAAAGAGCAAAGAAATAAGCACATTTCGATATGAAGATTCTTCAGGACTGTGCGAACGTAGTCATTTTCGGCCCTTTTTGTACAGTATGAGCACAGGCTATTTGCTCTACTTTACGACCTAGTCATGTTGATTTTTGGAATTTATTGCGGTTGAAATGGTGTAAAAATGTTGCATGATGCCTACAAAACATTGATAAAGTTGTGGCGATTGTCAGCGGTTTGAAGGAACTCTGATGTCGGCATTGACCCGTGGTCAGCTCTTCGTCACTTCGCAAAGCCACGACGAAAATAGCACATGCGCTTTCAAGGGGAGTGGATTCCGTTTAAGCGAGCGCTTTGTCAGTTTATAATGAGGGCATTTGTTTCTAACGCGATTTATGTGCGCACAAACAGGAGCCACGCGATCCGCCTCGGCCTTCGCCTTTAGTCGGCATGTGGCGTCTTGACGATCGTGTGTCGAAGTAGGCCACTGGGCGGGGAAACCGAACATGCTCGAAATGCTCCAGCCACGGACGTCCTGCGGGGAAAACAAGTATTGTGAATCGGGGTAAACCGAAGCTAACTTTTACTGTGCACTGTTCTACTGTTGCCTCCACGCTCGGGCTGTGCAGTGCGGCTGCTGCAGTAGGGCTCAAGAATAGCGTTCTTGCTTTCGCGCATGCACTTAACGCTTTCTGGACTGTTTTTTTTTGCGGATCATGTGTGGACAGGGCGTGGTAGACTTCAGGTGGTATTGTGAGGATATCACGGATGTACTATTCTGTCTTGGTGAGGCGGCAGCCGCAGCGGTGACGTCAGCGGACGGAAAGTGCAGTGTCCGAGGTGACATCAGCGGACGGAAAGTGCAGTGTTGCGATCCTGCTGGTCACATGTAAGTCGTCGACATTTCACGCGGCTTCCATAGTCCTCCAACGTCATCAAAAGAGCATCGCAACTAGCAATGTCTTAGTATGGCTTCGAGCGCCCGATGTCCGCTTGTGAACATTGATCGCTGTAGAATAACCTAAGCATCCTTTGATGCGCCTCAGCCACATTGGTGGATCGAAGCGGACCAAACGGGTCGTGCTCTTCTCTAAGTGGGAGACAGATGTTCAGTTTTTACTTTTTAGGCACGCCGCATTCGTACATTGTCTTTACCCAAGAACCGATGCTTGATCTGGCCATCATATGGGTCCATCCATCCGCTGTGGACGTTATATTAAACCACTGTCATTCTCTATGAAGGTCGTTGGAACTCAAAGTATTCACCTGTTACGCTGGGCAAAAATGACGCCAAAGACACTTGCAGTGCAGAACGCCCTGTCTCGAGCGATAACGCGGGCAAAAAGACTGCAGGGCATTCTTAACCTGCAGCAGGTCCTGCACTGGCGACAGCAGCAGCAGCAGCAGCAGCTACTCTGCGGTTGGTCCTCTTTCTATTTGACAATTGTATCGCTTCTTTCATAGCACTTTTGCAATATCTCTAAGGCACGGCGTTCATTTAAAGCTAATATTTTTCGGACGATCGGGAGCGTCGTCGAAAAATATCAGCATTAATATCTCTCAATGACCGGCGTCGAAAGAGTTTCTTTGCAACGAATTCGCCGGAACAAATGACGCACGGATCGATGCTATTCATCACAGAAATCTGAGCGTGTTTCTTTTTAATGTAAAGTTTCCATTTTAATTCGGTTTTCTGCGCACCTCAGACGTTTGGATGTAGCTCTTGCAACGGAGCAAGTTCGGTGAACCCTCATGCTCACCGAACTTATCAGAACTTGTCAGTGGTGAATTCACCGTATGAGAGCAACTGTCTAGGCCTCTCAACCTCAACATAACTTACGTCATTATGCTCACTGCCAGCCGCCGTCCCCGTGGCGAAGAGCGCCGCCCCTCTGGGCGGGCCCCGTTGTCCCCGCCGCGCTGTTGCTGTGGCGAAGTGTCGAGCGACATGCGATTCGCTTGCCTTAAACAGCGTGTTAGGGCGGTCTGAAGCAGCACCCGGGAGAGCTCACGCGCATTTGTTCAAACAGTTCCCACCTCCCTGTGCTGGTACTCAGCAATGATTGTAAATACATATTACTCCTGGACAAATAAAGCCATCATGAAAGCTTGTGGGGGCTGCACTCCCATACGTTTATTCTAAATATACTGGCTCTGTTGCAGTTTTAGGGCAAAATTACCTATGGAAAAGGTACATATGCACAAAGTATGTATGCAATTGCTCGTAAACAAAGGTGCGCCAGGCGTAGAGTTCGTATGGCAGAAGAAGGCACGTAAAAAGCCGTACGCAAAAATTTATGACCAGGATGTTCGTGTGGTGTAACGCACGTCTAGAAAATGCTCGCAGTGACAGAAATATGTCAAACCAGAAGTTCGTATGCATATATGAAATATGCAATGGTTCGTGAGCAACTTAACCTGCGCAAATGTTTGTAGCAGACAAAACTGCATGGCCGAAAGTACGGGCTTAAAAGTTTGTGAACAGCATACACGTAGGTACGGGGACCGAAGGTGTACCCCACTGTCAGAAAATGCAAAAAAGTATACCTGGCGATGGATGAAAAGTATGGTAATGCATGGAGAGAATTGACCCTGGGATGGAGCAGATGATAGTTCAATGAAATGTTCCAGAACAGACAGACCACCACGGCACCAAATGATAGACCACCAGCGCTAAAATGCTGCTGAAACTTTGTTTCCGGGGGTTAACTAACGTACGAAATCGAGTCAGTAATGTCTAGGCTCTATCCGACATGCAGTTTAAAAGGGATGCTCCCGGGTAACCTCGGGTCGGGAGCAAACAACGCCCCCATCAAAGGGATGCGTCAAAGCGGGTCCAGCTGGAGCACTTCTCTCTGGACTCCGGTTTACTCTGCACGAACAATATTGCACGGCGTGTCTGCCCGCCGTATTCCGCAAGCAATCCGACTCCCGCCACTGCCGTCGGCTGGCGTCAGTGGCGCGCTCAGGGAGCGTCAGGGGGAGTCGTCGACAGGGATGACGTCAGGGCGGGATAAAGGGGGAGCACAACAGACTCGGCGGGCGATCTGCAATGGACACTCCACCATTATCTTTTTCATTGCCGACCATTTCCAGCCCAGGGTCACTGCACTGCTCCCTTTGATTGGCTGCAACAGATGACCGCCGAAGAGCATCTGATTTCATGTCATGAACAGTTAGGCTGGGCATGGAATTTGACCTGATATACGCAACCGTTGCTGTACTCCGTCACCTCTGCACTGAATCTTGTGGTCTTCGACGTGATACTTCATCCGAGGTCCGAGTTGAATGATGAAGGTCTGCATTCCAACGTACAGGACACATCTGCTGACCAGTGCTGCGCACGTATTTCTGTCAAATGAACTTCATTCCTGACGATCATCTGCGCGCTCGCTTTGATGGCTATCAAATATTGAAATTCGAACTTTTGCTAACGTATTTTTGTTAACCGAACGTTATGCCTGCCTAACAATTGTACCCGCACATGTGCGTACAAAGTTCCATGCGAAGATTTGCGTTACGTACTTTTTCTCGATGAATATTTTACCATACAATCTTTATCAATCTTTGCGTGTTTGTTCCATTGCGAATTTATGCCGTTAGGAACTTTATGTCCTACGCACTTTATCCTGACTAGCTTTTGGCGTGCATGCTTCCTCTTACAAACAAATTTATCTACACATACTTTTCTATGCGTATGTTTTCTTTGCGTACCTTTTCTATATGTGCTTTTGTCCGCAACTTCGCCGTGCAGGTAAAACCAGTGATTGAGAGCTACCGGTTTCAAACCATAGATAGCAGCACCATCCGCAGTATTTTGAAAAGGCAAACTGTCAACATGTCTAAACGATCCAAGCGAGCCGTTTCATTTTTGATACGACATTTAGTTGGTGAACTGCAGGGATGTAATGTCACAAATAAGATGGGATGGCTGAGCAAGAAGAAATGGCCAAACCACCCTCAAAATGCTCCAAAGACCAGGTTTTCCTGCAATTTTTCGTTCTTAAAACTAGGCGGGGGCGTGAGCAGGGGGCTCCAGCCTCCTCCCAACTGACAGGGAAACTTATATCCCTGGTGAAGTGAATTTGAGTCGTGCTTTGCAACGAATGCTTGGTTTCGTTTGATTTGGATTTGAGCCTTTCGGCCAGTAACGGCCAGTCGAGGACTAAGGGAGGAAAAAGGTGAATAATGATGGAGGGGGAGGGGGGGGGGGCAAAACTAGATGCACCGGGAATCGCATGTCTCCGGCGGGGATCTCTCTGCATGTCTCGGCGGGGACCATGTGTCTCCGGCCGCCTTGCGTCACCGACGGGGACCGTGTGTCTCCGGCGGGGACCATAGGAGCACGGGCACCATGTGTTTCTGGCGGGGACCATGTATCTTCGGCGGGAACCATGTTTCTCTGGCGGGAACCATCCGACTGGGACTGTGTGTCTCCGGCGGGACCATGTGTCTCTGGCGGGACCACGTGTCTTCGGCAGGGACCATGTGTCTCCGGCGACAACCATGTGTATCCGGTGGGGACCATGTGTCTCT